AACTTCACGACGAAGGGACCGCTGGTTGTCAACAACAACTTCCCAATCTCAGAGCCAATTTTAACTTCACAACGAAGGATATTGGACTCCAGACAATGCAAGTTCAACTTCACGACGAAGGGACCGCTGCTTGTCAACAACAACTTTCCATTCTCAGAGCCAATTTCAACTTCACAACGAAGGATATTGGACTCCAGACAACGCAAGTTCAACTTCACGACGAAGGGACCGCTGCTTGTCAACAAAATTTCATTCAGATTCAATTTCAACTTCACAACGAAGGATATTGGACTCGAGACAACACAAGTTCAACTTCACAACGAAGGGACGGCTGGTTGTCAACAAACAATTTCCCGGTTCCATAGCCAATTTCAACTTCACGAAGGAGGATATTGGACTTGGAACAATGCTACTTGGATTTCAACTTCACGACGAAGGATATCCAACTCAAAGAAAGATTATCTGCCACCAAAATTGTCGAGTTCGACTCCATTTAGCTCGATGGCACATCAATCACACTACTTTCTGGTTGCAGTCGAGGTTTTCAAGTCGAGAAGAGGACCTGGGTTAGCCGTGCCTTAGTGACAAGCAACCATTTTCAAACAGCATAGCTTAAGTCAAGAAAAAGCTATCTGTCAATGAAGATTTCTGAGTTCGATTCCGATCCAAGGTCTTTAAACCGAGAAGAAGGCCGAAGGGTAACGGGAAGCCACGTGCTGATTCAAATTCCGAACTATGGCTTTAATTTCATATCATTTCAAGATGAACTCGACTTCACGATGGAGGAGTCATCCGTAACTCAATTCGACAGGGAGTTATTGAAACATCAGAGTCAATTTTCAACTCCACCGAACGAAAAGTGTGTCTTTTAATCTTTGCCCTATCCTCGTTACACGACTATGGGCAAAGAGGGGCAGCTGTCAACACACCTTTTCGTCATACTAGAATTCAAACTCCTAAAGATAGGATAGAATTTTGCTAGGATTCAAAAAATAGGATAGAGTTCTACTATTATTTAAATTCCTAAAGATAGGATCCACAAGCACTATAAATAGCCATTGTAGCTCACTATTGTAACACACGATGGGCATACGAAATTACCAGAAAAAAAATACGAGCAAATAGATTGTTTTGAAGCTATTGTAAACAATTCAGGAGCAATAAAAGGTGAAAGCTTTTACCTTTCGCATTCTTTTCTTCACTTGCATGTGTTGTTATTCGTCTTTGTGCTTGAAAAAAAGTTTTGGCCGAGGAAAAGGGGTTGTCGTTCGAAACTTTTCTTTTAGATCTACACAACCCCGAGACCGTTTTGGAAAAATACTAGAATATTTAAAACGATGGAAGAAAAGGCTTTTAAAAATCAATTTTTTTCGAGGTTTGCCGCCGATGAACGGTCACTTATGTATTATTTTCATATTTTTATTTATTTCTTTTTGATAATTCGTATTATTAAGTATATATATATATTAATTATTTTTATTCTAATATTATTTTAATGTTTTTTAAAGTTATTATATATATATATATATATATTTATAACTATTATATTTATTATTATTTTACTATTAACGTATATAAATATTTTCTCTTTTGCTACTATTATTATCATTATATATATTTTTATTATATTTTATATTTATTTTTAATTTTTTTAAACATATGCATATATATACATTTAATTATATTTTTATATTTATACTTCTTTATTTTTTTTTGTTTTCATGTATTTATATTATATTACATTATTATTATTTTACTTTATTAAATTATTTTTTTTCGTCATTATATTTATTATATATATATATTATATCATAATATTTTTTTGTTTATTCATTCTTACTATATTATAGGGATACATCACACTCATTTATTAACTACGGTCCTACCCCTTATCGTCTTTTTTCTTCCCGACAGTTATACTTCACCAAACCTTGACTTTCTTTTTTTACTTTCTTTTGGTGTGATTGCGTTTTTTTATTTTACTACTTATTATCATTATTATTATTTTGTACTTAATAATTATATATTTTTATTCCTCTTTTAGTTTTTCATCATTTTTTTTTATTTTTTCCCTTCTATTTTCTTTATTTCATTTACTCTTATTTCCTTTTTCCTTTAACGCGTTTCTCGACTTTTTAAGGGTACTCTTTCAAATTGATCGGAGGTAAGTAATTTTGGATCATATGTTACCTTTAAATTTTAACTTTCGATTTTCTTAATTAAAAACAACTGGAAATTACGTAGTACCGAAAGGGCGGTTCAAGGGTGCTAATCCTTCCTTGACCGTAACCGACTCCCGAATCCGACATATCTTTGGTAAGACGCAGATCAGATAAGATATAAGGTATCCGATTAACCTATTTTTTTTTAAATAAATAATCGGTGGCGACTCCAATCACATTTTTCAAGTCGAAGCCCAATTCCGTGGCCCAACCGAAAGACGGTTACGACAGTAACGTAGAGAGAAAAACATAGTTTGGTTCAATACCATTTAACAATTGAACTTTGTATTCCTACATGCATGATGTTCGAATCTGATACTTCAAGGGATAACAATAAAAAATCTTTTGATCACTGAGATTACTTGCTTCGTACAGTTCGTTTCATTCATGTCAATTTTGATCTAATTTGGAAAAAAAAAAAGAAGAATTGCAAATTGGTTTGAATTTAAAATTAACCTGGAAATTTAATGCTAGAATTAATTCATTACAAAATTAATTATCAATGGACCTATAAGACGTTGAATTATAATAAAAGTTCAAGGAAACATAAATAAAAATAGGTTTTTCTAAACAAGAACGTAGAGATATTTTGATAGAATATTAGTTGAATGGAGGAAACTACAGGGATTGGGGAAGAAACCTACGAGATTACATCGAAATATAACCAAAACCTGCGTGCCACTCACAATTAATCAGAAACCTGATTCAAACTTCCTCCTATAAAAATGCTAATTTTGGATGCACTCTCGCAGCACTTGTATTGAAGTTCCAAGCGAGAAAGCTCTACCGCTGCACTGGATTGAGTGTTTTTGTTGAGTATTTCGATTTTTAAAAGTTATAAAATAGTCCTTTAATTATAAGACATTGTTTTTTTTTGAAATATTAATTATAAGACATTGTTTTGTTGAGTATTTCGACTATTAAAAATTATAAAATAGTCCTTTAATTATAAGATATTATTTTGTTGAGTATTCCGACTATTAAAAGTTATAAAGTAGTCCTTTAATTATAAAATATTATTTTGTTGAGTCTTCCAATTATTAAAAGTTATAAAATAGTCACCTGATTATTTATATGTTCCAAACTTGTCATTTTCTATTAAAAATGATGGTGTATGAGCTTGACGTTAATATGATAACTGATATATGATAAAATCTTATCCTAGAATCACAAACAACTATACAATTCAAACGATTTTGGAATAAGATTTCATCGTATCTCAGTTAGCAAGTTAACATTCAACTCAGACGATCGTTAGTTTTTTTAACGGAAAATGATGGGTTTTGAATATATGAATAGTCGGAGGATCATTTTGTAATTTGTAATAATCGAGGGACTCAACAAAGTAATACTCATAATTGGGGGTCCATTTTTGTACTTTACTCTAAATGTTTCTGGTTGAAACTTTCAAACCCGCCAAGCCTGCACGCTGTATTGGTGACTGCTAATTATCTCTTGCTGTTAACTTTCAACTTGAAAGTTATATAACTTTGGTGACTGCTAATTATCTCTAATTAAAGTCTTTGGACCACATGGGCAGCGTGATTCTTGGGTTTTAACCTATTACAAGTTGGTGTAACAATCTTAGTCCATTCAATTAATAGATCTGGTTGAACCTTGTCCAATTATGAAATTACACTAACCGACTGAATCAACTAACGTTGATATGCTTATATTGATTTCTCACTACTAGAAATCTATTAGTAGCATTGCAGGTAGGGGTTGACTATTTAAGACCTTTCATAACGAGATTTTACAAAATTCAACTAAAATCGTCGATCAATAGATTGGTTGTTAAATTAAAAAAAATTATAAACCACTTAGCAGGGATACACCACCATCGAGAATATGAAGAAACAGTAGGATTTTGCCTAATGAATCCAAATTGAAGATGAGTGCTGTAATGGACCACTGGACTGGAGAGGGAAGGCAACGGTGCTGGAAGGTCTTTAGTCTAATGGTTGAAAGTTGAAGCCAAATTAAGAAACTCATTCCAAGCTTGTCCCCATCTCAATATTCTGCCCTAACCCACGAGGAAAACGTCTTGTGGTAAGAAAAGATTAACTCATTCCAAATCAAAGAAAGAATGATATAAAGGGACCAAGCTATAAACTTTTGTGAATCCAGTTGGTACTGCAGCTTCAACTTCTATATAGAGTAGAAATCCCCCACACTGATTTTGCGATAGAGACAAAGAGACTGGAGAATCATTCTATCTCGAGTGAGGGAAGGAGATACTCTAGGGAAAGAAATGAGAGTATTTTTTGTCGGTCTAGAATCTATGACCTAAAAGAAAATAATAGAATAAAGATTAGAAGCTTGACTAACTGACCAAATGTGTTTGCTCCAAGTTTATATTATATTATATCTTTAACTTAGTTAATACTACTATTATAATATGATGATATATTTGGATTTGAGTGTATTTTGATGTGTATGTGTACATTGTTAGTGATTAATAAAAATTATGAATAAATACTACGTTATAATCAATCTTACAAATAAAAAATAAAATAAAATTCTCAAGACACTTTGGTGTTACTTTGTAAATTCAGTTTTCCAAAACTAAACTTTTTCCAACATGTATAACCTCAACCCTAAACAAAGGCCGGAGTGTAGGGGGGCAAGCTTAGCCCCCAACTTGGGTGAAGCCTGCAATGGTGGCGTGCATGGTGCTGATAGTGAAGCCCTCAACTTGTGTGAAAATTGTTTGGAGCAACTTGGCCTCTAAGTTTCCTATAAATACCACTAGGGTTTCCAACAAAATAGCAGCAAGTGAATCATCATCTTCATTGATTTAAGTGAGTCAATTAACCCAAGCAATGGCCATGGCCATGAAAACCCTTGTGTTTGTTTGTGTCTTGGTTGCTGCAATGGCATTGGGAGCTCCAATGGCTGAAGCTCAACTCGGTGGACTCATTAGCGGCCTCCTTGGCTTGATTAAGATCCAAGGGACTCTATTTTGCTCTTTCGATGGCAACATGGGTGCAAACGGCACCGCAACCCCAGTTTTCCCTAGTAAGTTTCTACTTTTCTATAGTTGTATTTTGAGCTAATTGCATCACATGCTCTCAAAGTATGACACTCATTTTAAGTTGGCTTCTAAACTCTTAAATGTTTCAACTTCAGCCCTAAACCATGACTATCATTTAAATTAGTCCTTGAACTTTTGACCATTTAAATTTCATGTCCAAACTATAGGCATATACTAATCACATCCATTGTTAATAAACTAAAATATTCAAAAGTTCAGAGGTCAATTTAGAAAGAGGTCATAGTCTAGGGATGTAATTAGAATGTTCAAAAATTTAAAGACTAATTTAAAATAATGGTCATTGTTTAGGGATGGATTTCAAAAGTTTAAAATAAGGGATGTAATTAACTCACGTATTTTCCACATAATTTGGTCCCTCTACTATGTTCAAATCTGAGAATAAATCCCTATACTTTGATTTGAAATAACTTTATTCCTTTACTTCCATTACTAACGTTATTCGTTAATCCGGATAGATAACGATGTTAACTATGTGAACTAAGTGATGAAATCATAAAAGTAAACTAACCAAATTATAACAACTAAATTCCAAATGTGAGCATAATGAAAAGAAAGTCGTAATTTTGGCCTATTTCCCTGGAAAATGATAACAAATGATAAGATTCAAAAGCTGAAGTTAGTATCATCTAATGTATTTGTTTCAGATGCATTGGTGCAACTTCAGTGCGGTGGAAGCGTGGTCTCGAGTTCAACAACAAATGGAAATGGCATATTTTCCATCTTATTGGATCCAATGCAGTTTCTTGTCCCTTCACTGCTCAACAACTGCAACTTAGCCGTCAAGACTCCACTCTCCAACTGCAACGCCTCGCTCCCATCAGTTGGGGCACTGTTTTCGAACTTACAACTCGTTGGAAACACCCTTATCGGACTCTTGAACATCACCAACATTGTTCCAGTCGGATTTGGGCTTTTACGACCATAACTGAACTTGAAAACAAGAAGGAGAATATCAATTGAACTAATGATAAATAAGGTGATGGTTTCTCAAATGTTAATGCCCCCCTAAGGTCGCTCTTTATCATATGATTATTGTTGGCATATAATTGGTTTATGATATAGTATTGTAGTTGTAAAATGCATGGTTGTAATGATATTTGTGATTCCTAATAGAATTTACCTATGTCATGCATGTAAAGTTCCAGTGTAATTCTATTATGTTTCAAGGAATAAATAAAGTTTGTTTTAGTTGCGTTGTAATACATAAACTTCTCATATATTAGTATGTTTAATGAGATTCATGTACTCATTTCTACTCTTATTTATGTCATTCATGTATGCATAATCAAACATTGAATTGTGACCTAGAGTTCTACGTAAGGACATGTTTTATCCAATAAATGAAATGAGAAAAACATATATTCTTGAAAAGGCGTTCGTTAAAGTACTGATATCGCCAATCCATTGATAATAACGAGGAGTGCCCTAAGATTTAGCGATGTTCTTCCACACCCAAGATTTATTGGAAGAGCCCATATTCGCTAATTAATAATAACGAGGAAGCCGAGTTCTCATACTTTGCACTAAGAATCTTGAGCCAAAGACTACTCTTTTCCATAATCTCCATATCCATTTATGAAGTAATGCCCTCTTCTTTAATTTTAAATCTACCAGCCAAGGCCACCCGAGGATTTCAGCTAACACGTTCTCCCACATGACCCAATGAATGCATCGGATATAGGAGGAGCATCGAATAAATATATTAGATGTTGACTCAAATTTTAATTAATAATTAAATTGAATTTTATTGTAATTATAATAATTGAGGAATACTTGATGATTAAGCTTATTTAAATTATAATTCTTATAATCGAAGAATATTTGATTATTAAGTTTATTTAATAAGTAAATATTTATTTGAGGTAAAAAAAAACCTTATAACCTTCTAGACCCAACCCAAATATTCTAATCAGATCTCATTAGTCACCTATTCTATCCAAGAAAATCTTATAAATATCCAGCTATTCATTAAATAAATTACATAGTATGTAAAATCCACTTAATAAAATCCATAATGATATGCACATAAGTATATTGATAGTAAAAACTATATGAAAATACCAAAGATAAAATTTCAGCAATACAAATATGCTTAATCAATTGTATAAAAACACCAAATATAAAATTTCAGTAATACAAATATGCATAATCAATAGTAAAAATTCATGTCACTAAAATATAACATAAAGGATAAATAAAAAAACTACAAAAAAAAATATAAAAATGAGAAACAATCAATTCTCTTGATATCAGGTCAAATAATCTAATGTCCAATAATATATGAAAAGAGTAAAACTATGAGGTGAATTAAAAAGTTCGGTACCCCTTAAGGTGTAAAAAACATATAAATGTTAAATACATCAGTAAAACTTTGTTTGTAATACAAATTTTAAAAATATAATCATTACTTCTATTAACTACACCAAAACAGATTTTTAACGGCGTTTTTTTAATCCTATAACGTCGTTTATAAGTGCCGCTAAAAACTTTCTCGGCGCTTGTAAAAACGCCGCAAATAGTGCCGCTATAACGAGCGCCGCAATTGTTAGTGGCGTTTTTTTTTAAAATGCCGCAATAGGTCGAGACATATAGCGGCGTTTGTCTTTTTAAACGTCGCTATTGACTGTGTATTTAGCGGCGTTTTTCTTTACAAACGCCGCTATTGACTGTGCATTTAGTGGTGTTTTTTTTACAAACGCCGCTATTGAATGTGTATTTAGCGGCGTTTGTCTTTATAAACGCCGCTATTGACTGTGTATTTAGCGGCGTTTGTCTTTACAAATGCCGTTATTGACTGTGTATTTAACAACATTTTTCTTTACAAACGCCGCTATTGACTGTATATTTAATGTCATTTGTAATTAAAAACGCCGTAAATAAGCCCATTATTAGTGGCATTTTCATCTAAAAACGCCGCAAATATCACTATTAGGAGTAGTTGCATAAAACACCATTAAAGACATTCTTTACACCCACAGTAATAATCAGTTCTACAATCAAAGCATATATTGCAGATATTAAAATAACTGTATTAAAATGTATCAAATAATTTAAAAATAACTAAAATGTAGCAAAAGTTACAAACGATAAATTAATGGTTACCAACATTGTATCGATATTTATCAAAATAACATAAAATGTACGTTCAATGGTTACAATGAATGAAAATGCTTCAAGTTCAATGGCAGATTCCCAGTGATGTTCACAAGTTCCACATTTCAAGTACTAAATGACACAAAGCTTACATCTGCGACAAACCAGTTGGTAACGAGCGAAATTATCGAATCATCTACTACAGCTTCTTTATCCCGGGAAAAGAAGGTAGAAGTGCGATGAGAGCATCGCCGTATCCAACGGAATCTGTCGTATTAAGCAAAGAAAGTTAGAATAACTGACCATGGGACACTGTAAAATACCGTAAGTTGAAATGTATATTGAAAAGATGGCAAATACATACCACCATCCTCCCTTAGAATTTTCCAGCTAAGTCCCTCACAATGTATTGCCGAAATCCATCAAGCTAAAACGGAGGCAGCAGAAAGAGTAGGAATAAATTTCAACATCTGCAATTGCTTCGATTCAAAACAAAACAATTCAAGTAGAAAATTCATTCACATTAATCAAGATATTTATGGCACAATAATCAAATCCACCTACTTTCAGTTCAAGCTCTGCAATAGAAGTTGTATCACATACATCTCTGGTTAGAGATTCCACCTGCAGTTAGAGATTATAAACAACAAACTTTTCAAATATAACTCGAAGTATAAGTTCTTTCATTCATTTATTAAAGAAATCTCAAAACATGAAATATTAACATATTTATTCCAAATTTGTAAATTACGAGTAGATCAAAAAGAAGAAAAATCAATTACATTCTTTTTCTAATTTCCATATATAATTTCCTCACAGCTACTTCAAACAGCTACTGTGCAGTAACTTCAAAATCTACTGGTCAAAACATTTTTATAATTTAAAGGTGGAAAAAGATACCAATAATGACTTGACATAACATATATAGCTTCCATTAATGTTTTAAAAGAACATATATGAACTCACCCCAGATGGATTTGGAATAAGCTGGCTAGTCAAACCAGCCGTTTTAGTCTCTTCAGCTTCTTCTGCTACATTTATAGTAGCTGCAAGACGGCAACCAAAAGTGTGTGGATATAAGCTATATAATGACAAAATGAATAAGATTGAAAAACAAAGGAAGAAATAACATGTAATATGCTTTCAACATCATTTAAGTTAATAGAACTCAAGCGAAAACAGAGATGAAGAAAACTTCAGAATGTCCAAAATTACACACTGGGATCACTAGGTACTTCATTTCCAAGTTTGACTGAGGTTCCTGTAAGTTATCAAATAAAGTGAGCAACAACAATGGGAAAGAAGACATATTTTCCCTATTCCAATAATCTTGAGTGGACAATAGAATCGGAAAGAGAGATGAAATCAATGTTATCAACTTGCGCCATAGAAACTATCACATTATCCTTCAAAGTAAATAAACTAAAAACTATTTTTCTAGTTATAAGGTATTGCATAGTAGTGTGTGTATCCCTTCTGTTGTGCATATGCACATACAACTCTGCATAAATAGATGTATTTATGCATTATGTACTAAATAATTTCCAAAGGCTTTTAAGGGAAGATTAGTCTGTAATACTATCCAAGGGGTAAAATTCTATTAAATCAAAATACATGTAAAAGACGACATAGAATAATTGTGCTCATGAGACTGCAACAATGTGAAATGTATTTCTTTAAGAACCAGAAGAACTATTAGCGAAGGCATACTAGTTTCCTGTCTCAACTCTCTATATCGCCATACCTTACTGCACAGTGAATAAAGTTGATCAAGTGGGGATTTATCCCTAGACATGATATGTAATAGAGAGTCTTGGCTATAAAAGTAAAATAAATAATTAAAAAAAAAAAACTTATTAGCATAAATTACTTACCTTGGGTTTCCACAGTTGGACCTCAACCATGCTGAATGCCATCTCTGGGCGTCTAACAGGAAAGAAGTTCAGTTCCGAATTCGAATTAAAATATTTCATAACAGAAATTATGTACATAAGAAGTGAAGTCAATATACCAAGCAGCTAAACCAAAACAAATAAGACACACACAAATAGGAAAAATGACTAGCACATTAGGTTGAAAGCAAACTTACCCAAAAGCAACACACAAAACTAGATTGCGAAGTAAATCAAAACTGAAGGATGAAACCAGAAGTGAACAAGGAAAAACCTGAAATACCCAAAAAGGAACTAAGAACAAAGGAGCAAAGTCAGATCAGAAAAGCCGAATTGAGAATAAAAAATCAAAAGAAAATTGAATGAAGGTGAAGAATGACGAAATGACTACCATTTTTTCTTTTTTCTTATTTGTAATCAAATTCAAGATTTCAGAAAGAAACAAAAAATGGAGCGAACAGAGCGACATTTGCATTGCAAATAGACAGACAACGATCATACCTTTTAGGAAAGCCAAAATTGGGAACTGCACCTGCGATGGAGTCTTCGGTTTGACATCTAAAAATAAAAAAAAAATCAAAATAAAAATGGCACAAGGAGAAGAAGTAGCGGCAGCGGCCATTGTCGAGAGAGAGAGAGGCAAAAGGCACAACAGGTAAGAGTAAAGACTAAATGGGTAGGTTTTGAAAATGACAAGGTGTGAGATTTGAGGGGAGTTTTTTATGGCGAATGCGATAATTTCATTGAGGGAGGAGGATAAAATATGAACAGTTGGATAGGCACAAACATAATAAAGACTAAATATTTAGCGGCGTTTGTGCTTAAAACGCCACTAAAGTACGAGTCTTTAGCGGCGTTTGTACTTAAAACACAGCTAATGTACGGGACTTTAGAGGCGATTGTGCTTAAAACGCCGCTAAAGTACGAGTTTTTAGCAGCGTTTGTACAAAAACGC